GTTGAAAGGACTGACGTGGCTGATGAGCCATGTTTTCGACAAGTTCCTGTGAAAAGTAAGTTTGTTGCTATTGATTCCCACACCCAATTACTGCTTCGGTTGAGAAATGCTCGTAGACGCCAGTTTTAGAGGGCTGGAGGTCAGGGGAAAAACCTTCAGTCCTTACCTTCAGAATGGACTCACTCTGAAATGAAAGTTTCGGTCATGTTGGAGAATCTGAACGACCGCTCCAGACCATTCTGGAAGGTATCCAAGGTCCTGAAAACTCATCCCAAAGCCCAAATTTGATGACGACCGGCTTTTGATCACCCCACAGGAGACAGCAAATGCGATCTGCGAGCATGTCGTTTCATCGCATTTGCTTGGCTCGACTATCCAAAGTTTGCTCGATGATCAGGTTGCGTAATGCGTACAAAACCTAAATGCCTCCCCTTGTGTCGTGCCTCCGGTGGATGAGATTACAGTACAACAGATTTGCTCAGCGCTGAAATGCACCAAGAACATGAAGGCTTCCGGGTTTGACGGCATATTCAACTTGATCTTGAAGAGACGCAGCATGAAAGTGCAGTCTCTTTTGACCGCTATCTTCAACAGATGCTTGGAGCTGCACTGCTTTCCAAGCATCTGGAAGGTAGCAGAATTTATATCAATCCGCAAACCTGGTAAAGGCCCCAGCGGAAGCGGAACGGCAGCGCCAGCGGAAAAGCCCGATCTGAGTAAGCCTACTTGTCGGATTGAAAACTAGTTAGAATCAAATTGACTTTGGTTAGGCATCTTGATGTGATTTGTGAAAACTGTCAAACTTTCCGTTTCCGTTCCGCTTCCGCCCACATTGCGTTTGGGCCTTAAGGATCCAACATTGTCTTCAAGCTACAGACCGATCTGCCTCCTTTCAGCGATGAAAAAAATGTTCGAAAAACCAATTCTCAATTGTTTGTTTATGGTTGTCGAGGGCACTCCACCAATCACCAGCTAGTACGGGTGATGAATAACATCCGAAGTGACATAGCTGTATCCAAGTCCACAGCCATGGCCTTACTAGACGTTGGAAAGGTGTTTGACATGACGGATTTGTGTACAAGCTTTTTAACTTCAACTTCCCATTACATCTGGTTAAAATCACCCGTAGCTACCTCCAACAAAGGTCGTTTAAGGTATCGTTGAATGGTTGTCTTTCAGACACGTTTTCCATCCCAGCAGGTGTTCCGCAAGGAAGTCTGTTGGTCCCTTTGCTTTACAGCATCTACACTTCCGACATTCCTCCCCTCGGCCATGGTTGCTTGTTTTTCCTGTAGGATGCCAACACGTGGAAAATCAAAATCAATGCCTCTAAAACTCAAACAATTATGTTGCTCCATCGGCAATCGCACAAACTAAAACCGGCTTCATCTTGTACTGTAATCATGAATGGCACAAGGGTTGGGTGGTCTGCCGAAGTAATCTATCTCGGGATGTCGTTCGATGAAAAGCTCCTTTTTCGTTCGTATGTAGAGAAAACCGTAGTCAAGTGTTCTGAGTTGGTAAGGTGTCTGTATCCGCTGATTTGCCGCAGATCCCGCCTCTCAAGGGGGAACAAACTGGCTGTCTACAAACAAATCGTAGCACCTGTGATCCTCTACGCAGCTCCGGTGTTGGAATCACGTGCACAGACTAATAGGAACAAAATCCAGGACGCTCAGAATAGAGTGCTGAGGATGGTCCTTGGTAGAGGTGAGCGTTCCAAAATTAGATTTTAAAATTGCTGACATAAACACTAGGCTTGTGCAGAATTGCAACACATATGCTTTGAAAAGCAATTTGTATACGGTAGGTTAGGTGTATATAGTAGTTGTAGGTTAGTTGTAGTTGTAAATAGTAGTTATAAGTAGTCTTCTTTTGACGTAGGACTACGTTTGTGATTTCTATATTGGGGTACACTTTGTGAAAACCGAAAATGGAACATGTAACAAGATTATGAAAGATTTTGAACGTTAATAACTCAGCTGCCCCTGAAGCAATTTCAATAATTTTATCATCAATCGATCACAAATATTTCTACGCATCTGTCAAACTTAAGACTTTATCATTTTTCTAGATGTCACTATTGAAAATTGCATGAATGTGCAACTGTTGCTATGATAATTAAAATTATCACCAATTGCCTGCGAAAAGCGATTTCCCTAACACAGATTTCAAAGTTGAATTCCATCCGGTCTCACCAAACGGTGTTTATTCAATTGCCGCGTGGTGAGTAGTGGGGTGGTGTTCTCCAGTACACAACGAAAGGCTGCCTGAAAGCAGCGAGCTGCAGCCCACATGAGTATCCATAAAAGGAGGAAGAAGCCGCACCACTATTGATCGGAATCAGTAGCTCTTCGTTAGTCGCTGTGGGCTGTCAAGCGTGTCATACTAAAGAGTATAAACAGAGAGAACCCCGCTCAAATTCCTATTCCTACACAAAACACAAGCTCCTGCTGCAGTTAACAAATAAGATTTATTATATAAGACCACGTAGTCCTACGTCACCATTGCGTACAACCCCACAGGGCTGGCCCTTGTAGTTTTTTCAATTTAAAAAAACAGTCCCACCTAGGTGGGAATGCTCTAAACAAGTCTGATAGGACTAGGAACCTAAATAATAATTACAAACATTTCATATCAACTAAAGTTGAAAAGACGCAAATTCGGAGCTCCTCCCAGTGTTACGGAAACAAAAGTGGGCGCATACCGCCACCAAAAATCGAGAGTCGGATAAAGAGCAGGTTCAAGGCTTTAGATAACTCTGCAGCGCTGAGGAGAACAGTAGCCGAACGGATCGCTTTCCCGAGCCGGGGTCGGAATTGGAGTAGCCGGAATTTCTGCACCGATGAGTAGCAGCCTACTGCCGATTCGTACAGCGTGATACAAGCCCTTACATCTGAGACCCCGACTCACCCCTGGATACAGGGTATCGTGAAGGTCGCACCCCCGAACACGGTGTTCACCTGGATCCCTGGGCACTGCGGTATCCTAGGAAATAGCGCAGCCGACAGCCTGGCAGGGTTTTGACCAGTTGGCCCAAGTTACACCGACGTAGTGCCACTACAGGACATAAAGCGATGGATAGTCAGCTAAATGTGGGAAGCCTGGGAAGCAGAGTGGTGCCAATCCCAATTCTTCTTCTTCCGAAGAATCAAAGCAACGACGAGCAAGTGGACGGATATGTCGAAACTGCGGGACCAGAAGGTGGTTTCTCGTCTTAGGACAGGCCATACAAGGATCTCACATAGTTTTGGTGGGACGCGCTTTCAAAATGACGTCCAAGCAAGAGGAGCAGCGTGTCAAAATTTTGCCCGCGCAGCAAGAGAATCCGACGTTCTCACACGAAACTTATGTTAATATGGACCAACAGGTCTGTGCCATAAAAAGGGAGGAAACTTATGTGAAGGCGGATTTCAAGCAGCTTCCGGGACAGGAATTTTATACCGCATCAAAAAAAGGGAAACCAAACTATCGAAGTTCCCGAAAAAATATCTCGTCTGGCAGGCCATATGCACGTGTGGTCTAAAAAGTGGCATTTTCATTACTACGGGAACCATCAATCAAGAGATCTACGTCCAGAAGTGCCTGGAAAAGCGGCTGCTACCATTCCTAAAGCAACATAATAGACCTGTGCTGTTCTGGCCGAGCTTGGCGAAAAAGGCAATCGAGTGGTACGATGCGAACAACTTGGTGGTGGTACCCAAAGACCACAACCCTCCCAACAGCCCAGAACTCCGCCCTATCGAACGGTATTAGGCCTTGATCAAACGGAATCTAAAAAAAAAAAAAATAAATCCATGGAAAACGAGCAGCAGTTTAAATCTAACTGGCGTTCGGCGGCGAATAAGGTCGATGAGACCACTGTGCACAATTTAATGGAAGGGGTTAAGCGGAAGGCAGGGCAGTTCGGATTTGCCTAACCAATCATTTTTTTCCTTTAAATATATGAATTGAACTGCCAAAAGAAAAATAAGAAGATTTTTGTGATATGAATTTTGACTGAAAGAAACGATTTTTTTGTCGACCAATTTTTGCGCGTTCCAGTCTTTTAAGACTAAAAAAAAACGCAAATTCAAAAAATAAAAATCATTTAAAGTAAAAAAAAAAAAAAAGTAGTACACTTGTTCTAAAATGAAAGATTAGTAACTTTTTGAACTAAGATCAAATCGATTTTCAGTCTTTGACAAAGTTGTTTTGTATAGTATGCTCAATGTAAGTCCAAGATTTGGTGAAATTTGAGCAATATTAGAATTTTTGATAAACATATGAATAGGGTTGTTCCGTTTCCCATACATTTTCCCATCACATTTAAAAATTCTTCCGTAAATCAAGATTATAACCAAATTCGTTCAAATTTTGCACAGTTGTTGCGGACATCAATACGCAATACGAGACGTATTAGTATTACACCCTATCTTGATTCATAAGTAATTTACATATTCATGTTGATTCTTTCATACAGTAATGATATCGGAGAACATTTGGAGGGGATTGCCCCGGCGTAGTGGTTAACATCCATACATCTCACGACAAAGTCACGAGTTGAATCTCATCCCCGGATAAGTCACGAATGATAGAAGAATCTTAAAATGACTATTAAAAAAAAAAAAAATTCGGAAAGAGAAAACACCGACTTCGCCGATTTTAACAAGCACATTTATTCTTGTGGCGAGCTGCGAGCATTCGTAACCTGCTAAACAGAAATGAAAAGTAGACAATGGTAATGCATAATGACACAGTGTCCGTATAAATAATGATGCATGTTTTTATTGATCAAGGCATTTGGTTATGATATAGGTATAATTTAATAGCTATCATACGGTGTAATTAAATACCTAGTACCCGAAGTTCATGCGCTCACAAATGATCTAATATAAAAAATACATCAAATACAAATTGATATAAAAAATGCATCATTCCCAATTGATTCGAGTTCCGAATGACGAACAAAGTAATATTGTTCTCACATTTGAGGACTCTTCGTTTAATGCTAATCAACCATGAAGGGAATCGCACGTGTCTGGGAGCGCCACAGCACCTTCGACAATGATTCGAACTACTTTTGGTTGGTTGATTCCCTCTGCTTGATATCGGGTAAGTTAACTTATATCAGTTTCGAAAAAAAAATCATTCAGAACACAACCCGATTGAATTCTGAGTGGCATATAACCGAAGGCTCTAAATTGTCGTTTTCAGAGCAAAGACCCCCATTGACCAAACGGTTCGGTATCCGGATACTGTGGACGATCCTGAGCTTGCTGCACACCTTCCAGTACTTTTGTTACGTCCTGCAACTGATCCGTTTCATCAGGCAGACCCCTCTGGATATGGAAAGAATCACGGCAATGACAAATCTGGTGGTTCCGTTGGGCGTTGCCATTCTGCGAGGTTTATGTCTAGCCTATCATCGGGATGCGGTTCTGAAGCTGAAACAGTACGTAAACTCGAAATCCTGCCAACGAGACGACAATGCCGGTGCCTTCGAGTTGCGACGGCAAATGTCCCGGAAGGTCAACAGGTACCTGGTAGCGTTTGAGTGCGTAACTACGCTCAACAGTTGCATCTGGGCTCTAACCAGTGGACTGCATGAAGACATTTTCAAAATTCCCTTCCCCATGGATGGATTGCCGGATGTGCTGAAACAAGCTGTAGATCTAGGCTTTGCGGTTCTTCTGATCCCATGGTGCTTTACAATTTGGCACAGCACGACATTGTTCGTTCCCATGTTGAGCATTATGCACACGGAGCTGGCGATAATCGTTGGCCAGTTTGATGGTCTATTTGAAAAAGTTGTCGCCAATTACGCTCTGGAGCCGAACGATCTGGATCGAGTGTCGACGATTCAGCGGTCACGTTTCTGGGCCGAGCTGGATATGACTTTCAAAACTGCCATTTCTCATCATTCCGCGTTCATCAGGTATGCAAATTTTTCAGAATCACTCACAACTTCTAGACTCCGGATGTAGAAGTTTTTTAATTTCTATTTACAGTAACCTACAGCTACTCAGAAACATCTCCAGCCTCAACTTCTTCATATTTCTTTGCTCCAGTGCGTTGGTCATAACATTCAACATATTCCCTTCTATCACATATCCCTCGCTTGAGCATCTGCCCTTGCTACTGTTGGCCCTCCAGTATATCACCGAAGCCTATCTCTGCTGCACCATGTTTGACAATTTGGAAAATGAGGTAAAGCCCTTGCTTGACACTTACCCAGTTAGATAACACCGATCACTTACAGAACAATCGTATCGCCAATCACGTGTACGTCATCGATTGGCTGTATTCCGTGGGCAAAAGCAGCAAATTGGATCAAGCCCACTGCAAATCGATTCTACAGAATGCGCTCATACTGAACCGACAGATTAATGCAGGCCTCGCCATTCAGGCTGGAGGGATTTTTCCACTTAAACTGATGACGTTTACACAAATGATAAAATCCGTCTATTCACTGCTGACAATGATGGTGCAATCGGTGGACTAGTGAATGAATTCGTTTGTTCTGTGATTCCTGATGATGATGGTTCCGCCACTTAGCCCTACAAATAATAGTTTAATGAAAATAACTCTTTCAGTTTTGGTAAATTATTAACTGATTCTTCTACAGATATGTCTCCAACACCTTTTACATACTTTTACTTTCAGCGCCGTCAGAATCCTCGAAGAAGTTCATGGCATCATTCAAGAAGCTTAAAAGCTGGGTACTGCGGAGTCGACCAATTTTATTTTCCAAGCCAATGGGAAACTGCTTGAAAATTTTCTCAAGTTTAAAACTGGTTTGCTCTTTCTCGGTTGATTCCCGCCAAAAGCTCTGAGCCAGGAGTTCTCGAGCCCCCATGACTCTATCAAAGTTTGTTTACATACATGTTTCGTAAAGGTATGTTCTACTGTAATTGAAAACTCAGCTGCCTCATAAAAACTATGCTGATTTTTTATACTTTCATCACTGAGCCTGTTGGTTTTTATCTTTGAGGTTAAAATTAAGAATGTGTTGTGAAAAAGTATAGATCATTTTTATAAGATTACAATGCTTTACGGTAGATAAGAACAGTAACTGCATTTGCTGCTTGTGAATGTTTGGCTCCCGCTTGACAGTTCACACTGGCTCCCAAGTGACAAGCACCTTGAGTGAGTCCGCACTACTCAGCTTAAAAGTAGTGCTGCGTGCGTTCAACAATGTCAATCGAAGGGTGTCCACGATGAAATTGCCACACACAAAATTGATTCGCAAAATTCGAGTTTTCATCCGATTGCCATCAAATTTTCAGGGATTGAGAAATAACTATTAAACTTCATTTTACCATTTTACTCGTATTTTATTTACAGTCCATACGCAAATGCCCGCACCTTGGCCTTAACCCCGGCCATAAGATTCTGCACAACCTGTGAATCAACCGTTTTTTGCATGTAAACCCATACTTTCTTCAGTTCCTCGACTGTCTTCACTACCTTAGGTCGTTTAAGAAGGTGCTGCTTCATAATGGCCCAGTACTTCTCGATGGGGCGGAGCTCCGGAGTGTTGGGAGGGTTGAACATTTTTGGCACGAAATTGACCTTATTGTCCGCATACCACTTCAGCACGTCCTTGGAGTAGTGGCATGAGGCCAAATCCGGCCAGAAGATTGTTGGGACGTTGTGGGCCTTCAGGAGAGGAAGCAGCCGCTTCTGGAGGCACTCTTTTATGTACACCTGTCCGTTCATCGTGTCCTGGGTCACGAAAGGTGCACTCCGCTTCCCGCACGTGCAGATGGCTTGCCAAACCAGGAATTTCTTCGCAAATTTGGACATCTTCTGAGTGCGGACATGCTCCGGAACGCTGAACTTATCCTTGGCCGTGAAAAACAGGTTGCCGGGGATCTGTTTGAAGTCGGCCTTCACATATGTTTCGTCGTCCATGATGCAGCATTCAACTTTCGTCAGCATGTTGAGGTACAACTTCCTGGCACGGGTTTTGGCGGACTTGTTCTGCTTCTCGTCGCGATTAGGGGCCTTTTGTACCTTGAACGTTCGAAGCCCAGCCTTAGTTTTGGCCTTCTGGACAAAACTTCGGCTTAGGTGCAGCTTCTTAGCCACATCCCTAACGGAGGCGTTCGGATTTTGGTTGAAGGCCCCAACTACGCGGTTGTGATTTTTGGTGTTGTACGGAATACTTTTTCCTTCACTTCTGGGCTTCCGATCGGTGGTCAACCGTTCCTCGAACCGCTTAATCACTCGCGACACCGTGGAATTCGCGATTCCCAACGTTTTAGCGATGGAACGATGCGAGAGATCCTTGTTCTCGTGATGAATGCGCAAGATTTTATCACGCACGAGCTGTTCTTTCGACTCCATTTCCGCGAGTTTTGATCACAGGACTTTAAAACTTGCAGGATGTAAATAATGCACTATGAACTAAATCCACCCAAATTTTCATTAAATTCTACCCAACGGTTAAAAAGTTAGAGCAATTTCATAGTGTGGCAATTTCATCGTGGACACCCTTTAGATGTTGTTCCAGCACTGACTTTCGCTTCCGATACTGATAATCGTAGCAAGCCTAGCGGGTGGTACGGCTTTGATATAGAACTCAATATGAGTATCACTAGGGGATAATTGAAAATCTTAATTTTATCTCAATAAATGATCTAGTTTGTACAATAGACTGATGCAAATTGGGTACTGATTAGCGTGCGAAAATTTTAACTAATTTATTAAGAAGCTGACTTGGCACAAACCTTATGAAGTTAAATGGAAATTACTATGGAAAAACCAAATTTTCGTTAATATCTCTCTCAAAATTCACAACTACACTCTGCTTTTAGAAATGATAGATATGCTTGTAGGAAATTTCAGCTACAACTACTGGGCAAACTGGAGGGGCAACGCGGACTAAAGGGCACCCAAGCTTTCAAATAAACTGAAACTGAAACATAGAGCCATAGTGGGGCCTCATAGCCTAGTCAGTAAAGGCACGGTATTGCCAAGCCGGAGGCGGCGGGTTCGATTCCCGGTCCGGTCGAGGGAATCTTTTGGGTTGGAAATTTTCTCGACTTCCCTGGGCATAGAGTATCATTGTGCTTGCCACACAATATACAAATTCATGCATTGGTATTGGCATCGAAAGCTCTTAATTAATAACTGTGGAAGTGCATTTAGAACACTAAGTTGAGAGCACGCAATAAGCTAATATGCGCTAAGCAATAAGCTTGAAATGCGAATAAGAAGAAGAAGAAGAATAGAGCGGATCGAGGGGGGCGACACATCTAAATCTCAATTCTAGATGCTCAACAAATCTCACTCTAGCGAATCAAACTTCGAAAAATATTCTTTAATTTCTCTCACCTACTTGCATCGCGCATCATCTTTTTGCAGGAAATCTTCATAATCGACATCAATCTTCTTTCTATCCACTCAGCGTGCGCGCAGCTAACCACAGCAAAACACAATTTTTCCTGCATCGTAGATAGAGTCGCCCCCCTCGGAGCTGATCAACTTAAACACTGCACGCAAACCAAAAATTTATTACAATGAATGTTAGTTCCACTTCCTATCACCCTCTGTTCATGAACATCGCAGAGAATGTTAGAAGTTGACCGTACAGGCGATGTAATGGTTTTTTGTCTTTTTTATTTCGTGTTCTATCTACGCTTTCGACTATACGAGTAATTTTTTTTATGTATAACATTGTAGAACGACGCATACAGTTGCCTCGAATCTCTCCAGCAGAAAAAGCATACGAAACCGAGTATGAGAGGAAATGAGCGCTTCGTGTTTGCTTTTAGGCTATCCATATTCAGAAGCATGGAGAGAGCAGTGGAGAAAGCACAGGTCTAATAATCGCAACGTTCGTGGTTTTGAGTCCAGTCGGCAACCTTTTTCCAATTTTCTTTCGACATAATTCATTTCACTCACTAATACACTCCACATTTTCGATCTTCAATTTTCTTGCATTGGACCGCAGCTAGGTATATCGCATCCTCGGTTCATGCGGTCTCCACTAACATCCTCTGATGATGAACCCCACATAATTGTTAGCGAATCTTACATCCCCCGGTTGGGTGTGTATTTCTCAAAGGTAAGATGGACTACGATCGATGCGGATTGTGTGGTGTGGTCGATTTTCTGGCATATACCGATGGCGATGACGACTACGAGGAGCGTCCACCAAGCGCTCGCTGCGGTGCCGGAACGATTCGATGGTGGACAATGAAAGGACGATCTTGTTGGCAAGATGGCGATACCACCGATCGCTGAGAATCTGGAACAATTCCGGCAATGGTGGAAATCTGGCTGACCTTGTCGGAAAGATAGTGGTACCACCGTTTAGTCTTCCGGTGACTACAACGAGATGGCAGCCGGCTAGCGTGTCAACCGTACGTCGGCTATAGTGCGATGGGGGTTAGTTTTACAGGAGTGGTGAGTGTGATAGATAATTTACTATTTTGGTTTGTTTTAGTGCTTAGTAGTCACGACCACCCACAACCACAGCACTGGAGAGATTTTCCAGGTGATTTTTTTTTATCGATTTTTCTCAGTGGAAATATGGAGTTGTAAAAAAACAATCCAACGATCACAACCAACACCAACACGGATAGAAATCTCCTTACATCTTTTGGCAAATTTCTATTGCTGATAATTCATAAAAAGTATGAGTCAACTTATAAGCAAACGCCTTGAAAAAAGTTAATGAAGATCATGTGTCAAATGAAATGTATAAGCGGTCACTCATACCTTTTAAGCATTCTTATAGGAACTATATGGTTTGTCTTATGGAATGTATAAGGCTCATGTTTTGGCAAAAATGTATAAGTGAAACACATGAATAAAATAATTGATTTTCGTTTCGTGAAGGCACGTCCCGTAAACAGATTCGTTCGAAAGATAAAGTATTAGGATCAACACTCAAAACACAGTGTTATTTCGGCAGCCGACAGAAGCAGGTCACTCTCGATGTGTGTCACGCGATCGTCTGTTTACTCGGCAGCAACCATTGTGTGGTCCTTCTCATTGTTATTCATCAGCAATTCTTTCGGTCGGGACTTTGGAAAGTAACCGTTTCGTGATAAGTGTGTGAGTGCTGACCACGTTTTGCGTCCATTGCTGCAATGAAAGCGCTCTGCCCCCTGTTGGAGATACTGCCAGACAATGAAATCACTGGGGCTCCTGTTATGATGGAGGAGGCTTATGGGATAGCGGAAGATGAAGTGTTTATTGTGTTGTACCTTTCCAAGTAACCAAAAGTTCCGCATTCAACACTTCCAAGTTCCATAAAGTTCAAATAAAGTTCCGACAGAACATTCAAGTTCCATAAAGTTCGAATAAAGTTCTGACAGAACTTTCAAGTTCCATAAAGTTCAAATAAAGTTCCGACAGAACTTTCAAGTTCAAATAAAGTTCCGACAGAACTTTCAAGTTCCATAAAGTTCAAATAAAGTTCCGACAGAACATTCAAGTTCCATAAAGTTCGAATAAAGTTCTGACAGAACTTTCAAGTTCCATAAAGTT